CTTCGACCATACTTCCAGGCTCATACCATCGTCGTCCTCACCAACAAACCTCTGAGGCAAGTCTTGCTCAAGCCCGATGTTTCTGGTAGATTATCGAAGTGGGCCATCGAGCTCAGCGAGTACGACATCCAGTATGAGCCCCAGACTGCCGTCAATGCCCAAGCCTTAGCCGACTTTATCGCGGAATGTACCTTTAGCACTATAGTCCCTGAGCTGATCGGGCCCAAGCACGGAGAAGCTTCAACCAATGCGGCACCACTCCCTGTTGGAACGAACCCGACCTTGGATGAGGAGCTCTGGATCCTTCATGTGGACGGCTCGTCAAATCAGCAAGGTAGTGGAGCTGGAATCATTCTGTATGGGCCAAGCGGGGTGAAATTGGAATACGCGCTTCAGTTTGAGTTTGCTGCGTCCAACAATGAAGCAGAGTACGAAGCGTTGATAGCCGGGCTTGCCTATGCAAACGAAGTACGAGCTAAAAACCTCATCATCTGTAGCGACTCCCAGCTCGTGGTCAACCAGGTCACCGGCGATTATGAAGCCTGAGAACTGACCATGGTCGCCTATCTAACCAAAGCCAGAGAAGCTCTTTGTGATTTCCAGTTCTACTTCATCAGGCAGATCCCGAGGTCCGAGAACGCTGAGGCCGATGCCCTATCCCGATTAGCCAGCACAAGCGACAACACCATGAGAACCACGTACATAGAGAACTTGCCTCGTCCTAGACTTCGAGCCAAATCTACCCGTCATGTCGTGAACTCCCCACACCAGGTCAGGACCCTTGGCTCGGGGAGTGGGGGGCAATTGATGAAGGGTGATTTGACCCGACTTCATAATAAGGGGACACGTGGACATGACTCGACATAGGTGCCAACTTGGCATGGCCAGCTCACTACAAAGTGATACTCCACTACCCCGAACTAAGGGTTCAAGTTGAAATCGTCCCGAGCTAAGGGCACTCCGGTACCAGGTCGCAACACCAGTACATAATTCTATTCGAGGTGTACAAGCCTTAGCTCAAGAACATCAATTCGAGGTAGAAACCAGCTCGAGTATACCGATCTGCCTTCAGTATAACCCCGAAAGTCACTCCAACGGTTCACCAAATTCTGTGGGATCACGCCTCGTAACAACTAAGCATTATCTCCCCGTCCGATTTGGGCGGAAGCGATTAACCTTATCAACTGATAACGTTATCTCCAGATAACACGGAAATGGATTCTATCATGGCGTTGATCTCGGAACTACTCCGTGAAGCCCGCGAGGACTCCATTATATAAAGGCCCCCTTCCCAAGGCCCAAAGTACGCACAATTACTGCTTACTAGCTCTCTTGCTCTTTAATTACTCTCAGCTCGCACATACTGACTTAAGCATCGGAGCGACCTCGCCAGGTAAGCACCCCCGGGTTCTCTGATTCTTTATGTGCAGATTCTCCACGTCCGCCGTCTACTGGATGCCGCCGAATCACCCCTAGCTTGGAGCAGCCAGATTGCGCAGCATCATCAACCATGGGAAAATTTGGTTTTGGGCAAAAGTGGATCTCTTGGGTCATGAATTGTGTGACAACAGTATCCTATCAGATCCTAGTGACTGGTTCCCCATCAAAAAAAATTGTACCCTTAGAGGGGGCTAAGGCAAGGGGATCCCCTCTCACCTTATCTTTTCCTTCTGTGCTCTGACCTTTATCTTTATCTGCTCTTTTAAACCAGAAAGGGGATAGGAATTTGTCATGCTTTGAAAAAGAAGATTTAAGTCCCCTTGTTGTTCTCTCCAAAATTCACATGTCAATCATCACTCACAGCAGAAATTGGAAAGCTTTTCCAATCCGATGGTGAAAGTTGGTGAGCTATCGAGCCCCCAGAACAAGGTTTTCTTAAATCGAACTGTGATGCAAGTTTTGTTTCAGAAAATAAAGCTTCCTATGGTTTCTTTTTGCGTGATTACTGTGGAGTGTGCTGGGGTGCTGGTTTTGGGTCTCTGAAAGCTTCATCGCCTTTAGTAGCTGAAGCCAAAGCATTGTGGGAAGGAATCTCTTTTGCAGATCAGTTGGGTTTATCAAATACAACCTTCTAATCAGATTGTGCAAACCTAATCAGTTTTTTTTTTTTTTTGTGTGACAGTGATGCTGATGTATGTCCAGATATTTTGTTCTGCTGCCGTGATATCAAAGAGGTAGCAGTTAGAAGGAACTACAGCTTCCAATGGTGCCCAATAAGCTCGAATAGTACTGCTAATGCCGCAGCTAAGATTGGCTTTTCGTCGTCTTTCAAGTCCTGTTGGGCCTTGCCCCGTTGTTTCAGACTGTATTCTCGGAGATGTTTTGCTCCCTTAGGTTTTTATGTTTTTCTTTTTTTTTTCTTTAGTTTGTTCTTCTGTCTTCTTAGCTTGGTTTCTTCTCTGTTTCTGTAGCTTCTTTTGTTTCCTGTTTTTCTTCTTTAATGAAATCTCTCTTTACCAAAAAAAAAAAATGTCCAAGACAATGGTGATCAGAACTATAACAATGGTGAAAGAGAGAGGACATAGCTGAGAGTTGAGACTTGATAGAGGGAAAAAAATAATAGTGATCAGTCGTTGAATTAAAGAGAGAGATATTGGCATTATATACTGAATAATTGAACATGTCAGAAAAGTTTCAACATGTAAGCAACCATTCATCGAAATCGAACGGTGTTTGTTTAAACATTATGACTACACGTTTGTGCATCTGAACTCGTTAGGCCCATAAGTCCATAACAAGCCACATGTCAACATGTGAATGTGACTTCACTTATGTCAATTAATACAAACTTACAAATTGGCTTCTGCTTTCGTATTTTTGTTTTGATTATTATGTCCTTTTCAATTTTATTTTCAAAGAAGAAGACACACCGCCCGGAAAGGCTTAAATAAGAAGTCAATTAATGGATTTGGTGACAGATACTCAGATAGGATAAGGTAGGGAAAGAAAAGGAAGGGAAAATAATCAAACATGGCCATAAGGATTGTACTGGCAAGTCGAAGCAATATGTTTTTAATTCATACATACATTATAAATTTATATAAAAATACACTTATTAAACTTATAAATTATAAACTTTATATATTATATTTAATATCTATATGTACATAATTATGTATAGATTGATTTTAATCAGCCTTCTCTGATTGTTGGTTCAGAGTCCATTGACAACCGTAAAAATATAATAGTACCCAAATCAGCATCTTAGAAAAAATTTGTTCTCTCAAAAAAGACGAAAAAATAAAAATGTAAAACATAGATATAGTTAATTTAGGTGGTACATGACACAATTCAATGAAAATTCTTAAACCCTAAATAGTGCACATCTATATATGTGGGCATGTTTAGTTAATAACGCTAGAGGCTTAACCTGGACTCAAAAAATCAATTTGGATATAACTAGATGCAAATTTGATTTATTAATATTTCAATTTGAATATAATCTTATTCAGATATGAATCCACTTAAGATTGCAATGGATATGAAAGAATTAAAAAAAAAAATCGAAATATCATATACTATATTAATAAAATAAACTAAAGATGAATTGATATTGCATATTATGAACAAAATGAGTTGAAAAAAAATTGTATGAAACTTGATCCAATGACTCTAAGTAAAAAACCAATATTCCAACCAAACTTTCCAATCTTGCAATATAAACTTTAACTATATAGAAGCATTTACAATCTATAATGCTGAAAATGTATGATACAGGAAGGGTTTTGACCAATCGAATCCCCTCCCCAAATGAATTTTTTGATGAATACCACTTGATTGGTTATGACTTTATGATACCGGTTGATTGATTATAAGTCAATATCATAATCAATCTCGAATTAAAAGGCTTTCAGTCCAAAGCCCCCTCCCAGTTAGACATGTGTCATCCCATTTTTACAGGAAATAGAATTTCAATTCAACTACCCACTTTTTCATTTTTATAGAAAATAGAATTCAAATTCTACTACCCACATTTTCTGGAAATAGTAGTTCAATTCATTCATGGGTAAGCACACGTTGCTTTCTTTGTGAATCAATAATTACCTTAATTCAATTTATTTAACTGAATTAATTAATTCATTTACATAAGTAACAAATTGTTAAGAGAAATACAAAATTATTCAATTATAAATAAAAGTGATTAAATGATTCAAAACATTTACTTAGACAAAACATTATTATATAATTAATAAATTGAGAAAAGTACTATAATATGATTAAAAAAATTATAATTGATTATTCACTATAGAATGGATAGTTAAATAATAAAATGATTAAGTAATTTACTAATTAACAATTAAATTAACAAGAAAAATATTGAATAATTTTATTTATTCAAATAAAAAATTGATCAAGCAATTAATATTGACCAATTCAATAAGGAAATAATTTAGCAATTAATAAAATGTTTAAAAATAAAAAATTGATAAAAGGAAAATGATTAAATAATTGAATATGATTAATTAAAAAAATGATTAAATAGCAAAAGTCAAATCCAACACTCCATACATCCCATGTGTAATACATTCTTTAAATGTTAGCAATATTAATTAACAGTATTTAATATAGCAGTTTATACTTTAAAACTTTACCTCATAAATAGTATTTATTATCTGTTTGTAATTTTTATTTCCAGTGTTTCAAAAATGTTATAATAATCAATAGTAATTACCAATAACAGTAATATTTATTGAGAAAAATTATCAAAATTGTATTAATTAACATTATTTATTATGAACTTAATAGTACTAAATATATATGATATTAATTTTTCCGTACTTACTACGGGGTCATTCACCCACATCCATTCAATCTCTTAGCTACTATACTACATTGATGGGGTATTATTATCATTGATTCCACAGCCCTCTACAGAGCCACCACGTTCAGCTAAAAAGCCCATACTAGTGCAACCTATTATGCAATCAAAAAAAGCAGGAAATTTAAGATGGAGGATATAATAGCTGGAAACAGAAACCGTCCAAGATCAGAAACCATACCTTTCCCGCGATCTTATGCATCTCGCCCAGAACCGAAGCCAGCAAAGAAGACTTCCCCGATCCAACGGTCCCAACGATGGCGCAAAGCTCTCCTTTCTTGATCTCGAAATTCAAATCTTTCAGAACAGCTACCTTGCTCTCATCATCCCATCCAAACACACCTCCCTTCACCTCCACTGCCGTCAGGCCATCGCAACCCTCGGCTCTCTCCACCATTCCCTCCAATTCCCTACTCAACATATACGCGTCAAGCCTCCCGAGCGACACCATGGCCTGCGATATCGAAATCATCGACTGAGGGAAGTTCCTGATCGGCTCCTGTAGGATCTTGATTATCGTCGTCACTGTGAACACCTTTGCCGCGTCCAGAGGGATCCGCAGAAGAAGCGCGGTTGCGAATGTAAGCGTCGACACCATCACCGGCGTGCTCCACATGACAACAATGTTGCCGGAGAGTGAGTACATGAACTTGGCCAACGAGCCATACTCTGCCTCACGGAATGACAGGATCCTCTTCATGAAGTGATTCTCCCACGCCTGGAATTTGATCACTCGCATGTAGCTGAGCATCTCGTTGGTTGCTTTCAGCCTCAGATCGCGGTTCCTCATGACGTTGAATTGGAACCGGTTGTTCCGTCGAGTCCCCAAAACCACGAACACGAAAATACCGAGCAAGGCGAGAAACGCAGAGAGCGTAGAAACCCCAATGTAGCCGTAGAGGAGGGCGAAAGCGGCCGTAACTTGGAGGGGCATCAGCCATACAGAGTGAAGTTGAAGCATCATGTCGGAGAGCTGCTGAGCATCGACCGCCATGTAATTCACAATTTGCCCCACTCCGTGCGACTGCCGGGCCGAGCAGGTCATCCGGAGGCCTTTCTTGTACAGAGAGGTGATCAGGGTGGATCTAATAAGCATCCCGGTTTTCTGAGACTGGAAGTTGAATTGATGGTTGCTGAGGACTTCGATGGTTTTCGCCAAGAGGAGCGTCGCTATGAGGTAATAGCCTTCGTAGGGGGAGCTGTGCTTTCCGGCCGTGAAATCGACAAATCCTTGGATCAGAGTTGGTCCGACGTACATTACGCAAAGCTTTACAATCGCAAGGAAGGCAGTGAACGAGAGGTCCTTCCAGAAGCACCGGAGCAAGGTAGTTCGAACTGGGTGCTTCGATTTCTCTGTTGGCTTGGGCCAGTTCGATTGGAAGAGCTCCAACATCCGCTCCGCCCTGTGCTCAGGCGAAAGTGTTGGGACTTTGTCCATCTTGAGAGGGGACATGTAGCCTTTGCGCAACAGGGGATTCATCCAAAGCCACACGGTCTTAGAGAACCATGAAGCAGTGGCGTAGCCTGACACGTTCGTCAAATTGCTCAAGAGAGGTTCCTTCAGTCCTGATTCAGATTCTCCGGTTACTATTATCCCAGTCGATCCTCTAATGGCTACAAGCAGAAGAATTGTGGATATGGGTAGAGTAATCAAGGAAAATATATCGTCCATTCTCAATTCGGGGTCCTGGGTTCCCATGAAAGAGCTAAGTCTTATGACGGCCGAAACAGAGAACAAGCAAACGACGACGAAGTTCACGAACCAGTAGATACGAAGGGTCATCGGATGAGTGACGGCTTGGAATCTCCTCTCGTGGGCAATTAAAATCGTAATCGCAATATAGGTAATGGCTTGCATTAACCGAAACAGAGCTTCGGTCATCTCCCATGTCGATTGGATGCCTCCAGTAAAGGATAAGATGCATAGGACTGTGTAGCAAATGCCCACAAGAGCTGTTAGAGTGAGAGAAAGGTTGAACCAGAAAGTTACTCTGAGATCAGTTCTGTCGTTTCTGATGAGTGGTTTGGCAATGGAAGCGTCGGCATGGTCTTGAGAACTAAACCTTGAACAAAGTTTCTGGACGGCGAAGGCGAAGAGGAGGAGCAAGAAGAGGAGATCGACAGAGGAGAGCAAAGCTCGTTGAGGACATGGAGAGAAAAATATGAATCCCAACCACTGAAATATGACTGAGATGGTGGAGGAATCAGGTGGGGATTGAACAACCGAGCTCGAACATGAGAGAGATGTGATCCAAGAACCAGAGGACATGTTTGCCAGCAAGCTTTCACTCAGATTGAAGAAAAACCCCCCTCTGCACTTTCTTCTCATTAACCTTGATTCTCCATTACGCTGTACAAAAAGAAAACAAGCACTTAGACACTTTTTCCAAAAAAAACACTGAACGACACTGATTTCCAATCTGACATTAATGCATCGGTTCCGGAGAAATTCAGAAATTTATTAGGCCACCGTTTTATCACCTTCATGAACCAGAATCAGTAGAAGATAAACTAAAGAAAGTAATAAGAGTGGAAAAAAAGTTCTTCACAGTATCATTTCAACAAATAATGACAAAAACGACAGAAGTACAGAGAGAACTGATCACCACCAAATATTACGTCAAGAAGTAATCTTTCTGTAACAGTGGAGCTCTGAAGCACAGGGAAAACGAGGTCTGAAAGTTGTTTCCTTAAAAGATTATTTTCCTTTTTTAGCTTGAAATTTGAATCAGTAAGATGAAGAAAAGAACTCTAAGAATGAGAAAAGTGAAAAGGAGAACAGCAAAAGGTAGCTACTCTAAACCAATACACTGACGATGAATTGTTGATGCTTTCGGGCATCAAATGACCTTCATCAACTACAGAAAAAGGCAATGAATTTGTGTTATAAACGTCGGAATGCAGCTCGGATTCTGAAAACGAAGGAGCAAGAGCATCCACAGAGCCAATGATTTCTGTAAGAAAACAGAAAAGAAACCAGTGGAACAAGAGAATCCACAAAGACATGATTTCAGTCAGAAAAGAGAAAAGAATTCAGTGTTCTGTTTAATATTTAATAAGAAATAATATTAGCAAAGAAATTTATGAAAAAAAACAAGGGCACATGAGTAGTGCTCATAAACCAAGACAGTCAGACAAACTCGAGAGCAATTACATCATAGAATATTAGGCCGTCCTGGTAGAGTGAAGAAACAGAAACTCAGATCTCAGCAGATCCTGTTTTTGTCAAGATTAAAGAGAGAAAAAAAAATGGAGAGAAAAATAAGCACGTGAATTAAACAAAAGACAAACGAGGAGAGAGAGCCAAAACAATCCGAAATTTCTGGATTAAGAACGAAAATTTATAAGAGATTATGTAAGGTCTTTCTGCATCTGAGCTGAAACAAAATTTAGTGAAGAACAAATATTAGGCAATTTCCAGGGTAAAACAGTAGAAAGATACAGAAGAAACAGAAAAAAAAAAAACTTGCAAATACAAATGAAACAGAGTAAAAGGCACTTAACAGAGCTGAAAAATCGATCTAAACCAGAAATCTATCAGTTCAGGACAACATTCGTTTTACCTCGATTGAGCGCGCGAACAAAAAAAATAAAATAAAAGTTAATGTATAAAGTAATAAAACCGAAATCAGAGCTTGATTGCAGAGCAGGAAAAAATATGAAACTCTGCAATGTTTTTGAAGTTCTTATACCTTGAATAAACTTGGCTGAAAACCAACGAGCTTTAACTAGTTGAAGACGTGGAGAAAGGGTAGCCGCCATTAAGTGCAGATACAGAGGAGAGAGAGAGAGAGAGCAACGAGCATTCAAGTCTCCCCCGATTGACCAAGTATGAATAAATAGATAAATGACAATAAAAAATAAATGGTTTCAACATAAATAAATGAATGAGCAGAAATAGCTTGTCCTGGTGCACATGAATGGGCGGTTTCCAGACCTACAACTACCCCCGCCTTCCCAATTTACCGTTCAAAAAAAAAAAAAAAAGAAAAATTTCAACTATTTTCAGCCAAAAAAAATTCCACACTGGTTCGGTGATTCCATACATCTCATCTCCACTCGGCCACGTGGGTCATATTAATGACCACCGTTCCAAACTTTAGATCGATATTGTTTGGTTCTTGTCGAGTCGTATCTGGTCCCAATACTTCCAACAACCATTGCAGCCGTCCGTTTCACTTACCCAACGGCGTTGGGTAAATCCGGATCTCCATGTTCCAGCATCCTTTCAACATGATCTGATACCCCATATTTCGTATATATGGACGGTCTCACATGGATTCTAATCTCATGGTGCAATACTGAGATGTGCAGTGTCAGATTCTGTTAAAAAGGTTTGGGATTGATAGGAGATGTTTTCAATGAAGACTGCAACGGTTGTTGGGTCAGGTCATTGGGATCCGGTGTTGGGACCAATCTGAATTCCCAATACAGGACCTTCAATCTTCATGATGGGAGCTTGGATCTCCTACCCACACGTACCCACTGGATACTACAGCTGTAATGTCTTTGGGTAGGTGTGGGTAGGTATGGGTACGTGATCCGGATTGGATGGATGCTCCTAGTGGAATGGGATCTGCTACTCACACTTGGGCGCCTCAATGCACATCCACCATGCATTGGGAACATTTATCGTCAATAAAAACTTTTAAGTATGGGAGATGTTCTCAATGCATGGTAGAATGTGCGTGTGAGGCGCCCTAAGTGAGGAGTAGATCCAGTTTCGTTCCTAGTGAAAGATTGTGATGGTTGTTTGTTGGGACCCTGTGTGTTGGATCAAAAACTCTCCCTAGTATATGTTTGGCATCAATGCTGCATATACAACAAGAAAGCGGTGTTGTATGTGTGTAGGTTGAATAAGAAAATGGCAGTGATGTGGCAGTGAGGACATGATGTGGCAGTGACATGAACTCCCTATAATGGGTACTAGTGATGAAAACATATATAGAGTGTTGGTATTGATGTAGCGCGATCTGACTATTCCCTGCTGGAGGATGATCTGGTTTCCAGTCGGGCGGCGAGATAGGTGAATCTGCAAGACAACGAATCAGAGAATTCGGGGTGGTTAACCCGGCAATGTCACTCTGATGCTTAAGTCAGTAAACTGTGATGCGAGTTGAAAAGCTTTGATAGCTAGAGAGCTAGAGAGTAGAAAAAATACGTGTACCTTGTGTCATTGGGATTGATGCCTTTATATAGTTGAGCCCTCATGGGTTTTGCGAATTGGTTCCGGGATCTTCGTCCTGATGGGATCCGTTTCCGCTTTAATTGGGGAGTAACGTTATCAATTAATAAAGATTATCAATTCCGCCCAATCCGGGCGGGGATAAGATAAGCTTTCCGTTACGCAGCGTGATCTCGTGAGGTTCGGAGTTTGTTGGAGAGACTTCCGGGATTGTTACGTGACGGTCTACGTCAGTAGCCCCGAGCTGATACTTCAGTCTTTTAGTTTCGAATTGGATTGAGTGTCGAGGTGACTATGCACCAAGGTAACCCTAAGCCGAGGTAAACCTGTGCTGAGGTGATTGAATACCCGAGCTCAATTGTTACGAATTAGGCATGCCAGGCTGAATTGTCATCTCTTAGTCAGTTCGTGTCCACGAGTCCCCTTTTTGCTAGGTCGGGCCAAATCACCCTTCATTAAGTACCAAACAGAAGGTGTTGCTTTTGTAAAGCATGACTTCTTGATTTCCAATGCATGATTCGGAACACCATTTTCTATGAAAAAACAATTACAAAGAACACCGATTTTTTCAACGTGGCGCTGATGTGTCACAGTTTTATGGAGCAATGGCATCGATACGAAACACCGCCCTACTGTACAAAGGATCTAATTCAAGAGTATTATTATGTCTTAAGTTCTGTCTCCCATCTCCTACTTAACGGGACCCAATCTAGTAGGCACAATCAGTGTAAAATTCCATTGTTATCAGTATATTCACCGAAAATTAGTGTAAAGTTTTTTACCTTTCTCTGTCCAACGGTTACTCGCGTCTCCGGCGGTTACATCGATAAGACCCGTTCTCTTCCTCGTTCGCTTCATCTCCCCTCCTCTTCTTAGACCAGCCAAAATCTGCGGCCAGAGTCATAGACAGCAGAGGATCCACTATTCCTCTCAGTCAAGTGAAGAAGCAGAGAAGAGTTGGTCACCGTCCCTACCAGGGTTGGCCCTCTGAAATGGGTGGATTGGCGCACGGCCTCTAATGTCACGCTTGGTGGCCCCTGAAAGAAACCGCTAGCTATTGAATGGGTTGGTCACTGTCCCTACCAGGCGCACTAGCCGGAGCATTGAGTCTCCAAGCTACCGACCCACACGTAGACGTCTTCTCCACCTTCTAGTCAATTAGAGAATCTTGTTTCTCGGAAATTTGCAGAGAAGGGGCCATCCATCTCTTCGGTTTCGCCAAGTCCGTCGCAAAAAGCAAGAGATTCTCTTAAAAGATGTTCTGGTTTCTCGACCTCTACGACGCTATCTCTAATCTTGGCCCGTTGCAAAAAGCAAGAGATCCCAAGTGAAGGCATCGTCTCTCAGATCAACTTTTAAGAAGCAAACTCAACAAATTAAGAAATCTCTGAAACAATTTAACACAAGGCCAGGAGACCACATGGGGTGGTTGCGGAATGCACGTTGCTTCCGTCTATAAACAGATCCAGGATGGTCAACACTATCTCTGCCGTCAATGGCCCGGTATCAAGTTCGGAACACCGGTGGCCGAAGTCCCTGATTCTTCTATCTGTACCATCCTCCAGGTTTGCCTCTCTTGTTTAAATTTCAATTCAGGGTCTGTTATGCTGGGTGGATAACCAATCATCGGCGATTTCCGTCCGATTGGTATGGATCATACTGGTCATCCTTTGCAAACTCAATGATTCTTCTATCTGTACTCGATGCTTCAGGCGCACAGGGTATCTATGGCCGTTGCTCACTCATGCCTATCAGCGTAAGCATTGCTTGTTCACCTTTTTCCCTCGATACCCAGTTTGAAAATTTACACCATATAAAATCGGTGTAAATTTTCAAAATCATGATATAAAATATTTTCAAAATGCTCATTGAACGTAGTTATAATGCTATGCTTACCTGATCCGGACTGTAACTGGAGGCAAAGTGCAATTAATTAGCTAATAACGTAATTCTCCCATAATTTTTTATTAGTTAATACAAAAAAGAACATTTATCGGTTTGTTTCAAATTTATATTAAAATTGTCATAGATTCTCTCACCCCTTATTGTAAACTTCTATACAAATATATAAAAGTTTGAGGTGGAAAAATTTATAAAACCCCTTTTTTTAACCCCTAGTGTGACTAGTGTCGACTGAAGATCGACCCCACATCTTGTTGATGTTTTCTCTTCCCAAAATAAGAATAAAAAAAAAACATGGACTCATTTGTGCCCCAACCGCCCAGTCCACTTCGGACTCTATCCATCCATCCATCCATTATATGGCTATGTTTGGACGTAAAAGTTCGAAAAAGTATTTTCACCTCTATAACATTAAAAAAAAAACTTATAAAAACTGTTGTTAATACCTTTTAATTTATTTTTGCGTAAGTGATAAAACATATTCATCATAATAAATGGAGTAAAAAATTTCTTCAAATATTTTAGCCTCAAAATTTTCCCCAATTAGAAAAACATAATACCTGGCTGGCTGGCTCTCGAACAACAATTTTTCCCGTTTGTTGCCACAGAGAGCTACTATCACAAAAGATAAAAATTAATTGCTTTGGGAACAACGTAATTTTTAGGCGGTACTTTATAAAGCACTTAACAAAACATGAAGATGAAGTACAGGCTTCACTTAGCTGACCCCATAAAGATAGATTAGACTCAGAAGATGATGGTTTTCAAAACCAGACCGGACCGGAGGGTCGGATCTGAAAAACTGGGAACCAGTCAGGTGACCGGTTCCGTTTTTCCCAAAAACCGGATTTTTCCCCCAAAATTGTTAATTTTGGTCAACGAACCATTGAATCGGGCGATTAATGGTTTGAATCGTTCAAACGATTTTGACCGTTTTTTATTTATTTATTTATTTTTTTATTTCTTGTCAGAACGAGGCGAGCGTTTAATTTGAGCAGTTGGACCGTTTGACCCGGTAACCAGACCCCTAACTGGTTCGGTCACTAGGTCGGTTTTAAAAACCATGATGATGATAATGATAATACTTGGTAAAGCTGAACTCTATGCACGAGAAATCTAAAAGGTTTTGATGTGGCTTTAGATTTTAAATAGCCAAAGCTTGTTTTTTGTTATAAATGTAGTTGAACAATACAAATATTTGAATGCAATAATTAGGGGTGGCCACGAACCGAGCTTTCATGAGCTACTCGAGCTCGATTCGACTCAATTTCAACCGAACTTCGAGCCGAGCTCGAGCCTAATAGATATCGGCCAATACGTACTATACTGATGACTTTCTAATACGCCCCTACAAGGGGTGTATAGGGGTTCTGACCGGTTTAGGGGCTGGAGGAGACTTAAACCGATCCCCCTAAATCGGTTTTGAAAAAAAAAAAAAAGAGATGATAACACTATTGATACCGCCCGATACAAATGCCCTTACCCATATATCAAACGTATCGATATTTTGAACCTTTGTTATATGACATGCATGGGGGAGTCAAGCTCATTAATTGCACAATGCCTTATGATGATGCACAATCTGGCCGGTCTTAGCTGTCAACGATCTTGCCTCTGAGCTGAGTAACAGGGACCTAAAACGGAAAGAGAAGAAAAGCTCCGAGGAGGACCCGGCGTAAGGGCTCCGAAGCTCAAGTTAGAATCCTTCAAAGACAAGATAAACCAGATAGCGCAAAGTTTGCATACCTCGTTTCTGGGGGGT